ATAATTTTCACAGCATTGTGAAATAATGTAGTTTGGTTGTGGATGAACTGAAGCCAAATTTGTGATGTGTCATTTTTTAAAAAGAGCTGCAATATTCTTGGACACTTATCTTGTGATAAAAAGTATGATTTTAATGGTTCTTATATTTAGAAATATTTTCTTCAGCTGCCTGCTGGTAAAAGAACTAGCCATCGTGTTTTGCTGTAACCAATAATTCTTTTATATTCAATTTCTGCGCTTTCACAAACTTTCAACATGTATGTGTATGTGTATATATATATATACGAATAAATTTTTGCAATATTATTTTCAACATCCAATGGAAGTAAGTCAGATGCTGTTTGAATAGTATTGTGTAGAATGTGCGGTGCACAACCTTCTCGAATAATTTCTTGGTTCTAACGTTCATCAAGTTTCGTAAAAATGTCATTGATGTCTCTTCTAACTTTTCCACCAAAATTTTTGTTAGTGTTATCCCCACAATGGGCAATAATTTTATTGTCCAAATTATTCTTTTTTAAACTAGTACTTATTGAATCAAAAATTATTTATGAAGTTTCACCCTGCAATGAAACAAATTGAATATTCTAATTTTAATTCCTGTTTCTGGATCAAAAAGGTCTAACAATTGTGGGAAATAATTTTAAACCTTCGTGGTTGGAAGCATCATAATATATGGATATAAATGTGCATTTATCTAATTCTTTCTGCAATTATAAAAACGAATACGGTGAAAAACATTACAAATAATTGCTTCGGTTTTTGTCCTGTACAAGGACAAAAACAAAATGTAAGTGGAACTAAAACTCAAACAGTAAATGGAACTAAAACTCAAGCAGCCAATAATAGTTTTACAGCAGCATTAATTATATAATCAAATGCATTGAGAACTGAAACTAATTCACTCTGTATTAAAATTTCGTCCTGAACACAACTTACTTGATGCCAGACTGTTTGTGACTGCCATATGTTTACTGAAATAGAAATGATGAAATTAATTTGCCTCAACTGTGAAGTTGCTCTTTGTTATGGATCATCCTTCTATGCAATTTTTTGTCTTACAATGTTTTGATTATTTGTGACATACAATCAATTGATCTGAAACTTTGATTGTGGTTTATGGTGTGGAAAAGCAAACTGCCTTTCAGCTAATGCTAGCTGTTCCTCTGTTAGCAATACATATGAGACGTAACGAGTATGATCGAACACCACAGAGTAAATTTAACTCGTTGCATCGTCTAATTTAGTTTAATCTGCATGCATTTTATGTGTTTTTTTTTATTTCTTTATATTCACTATAATAATTAATAAATAATAGGTAATATATTTTTACAGTACATTTAAATTAAGAAATACAGATGTTTTCTAAAAAGCAGGACATTTTTAAAAATCGACGGGACGCGGAACAGTCCTCCAAAAAGCGGGAATGTCCTGCCAAAATCGGGACGTGTGGTCACTTTATCTTTGAGTCTTCTAACTCTACCAGATTTATTTCCGCAAATTATTACAGCTATTTCCAAAGAAGAAAGGCAGCTATATTTAAAAAATATTCTTTTTAGTAACTACATTGCATTTAATAACACTTTTTTTTTTTTAAATCTACAGTATCCCAATGGGAACTAACACGAGTTCAGCGATTTGTAATTTGTACCTTTTCACCAAGGAATTTCTTTTCAAACAATAGTTATCTCAAGTGCAATGTTCATATTAATCTAATATCTACAGATACAGGGACGATATTATTGCAATAAATAACTTCAATAAAATAGAATGCGATCATATTTATCCTTCATGTTTGAAACTCAATTCACCAAGGAACTTCTTTTCAAACAATAGTTATCTCAGGTGCAATGTTCATATTGCTCTAATATCTACAGATACATGGATGATATGATTGCAATAAATAACTTCAATAAAATAGAATGCGATCATATTTATCCTTCATGTTTGAAACTCAATAAAACTAACGGCTAATCTTTGGAATATGGTAACAGGTAGTTTGGTGACATTTTGGTAAGGCAATAAAGGTTACTAGCTAGGACTTTAGCAGTGCACATGGGTAAAGAGTGTGCGCAATGCCATTTTTGTGCAATTCTGGGATTTTTTTTAAAGTGAAAATAGGTCGACATGTACATAGATGATACCGTCTATGTGCAATTCTTAAAAACGCAGCAAGCAGTGGGCGATTCTGCACTTTCTCCCAATTTCGCACCTAATCTTCGTCATGATTAAGCACTTTTGTTCCATAAAAGTTCTAGTATAAGCGTAATTCGGCTAGCAGATTGTTTGAAAAAAGTGTTGAGTTAAAAAAAAAGCCTTTACTTCGTGAAAACAAAATGGCGTCCAACAAAAACTAGCAGGTTGCTGTAGCAGGGTTGTCGCCAAATTTTTGCCAAAAAATCGCCGAGTTACCATAATCCAAAGATTAACCAAACTAACTTTCAACGAGGAGGTATTAATTAACTAGATATATAAATAATCAATTTTAAAGATATCAGAATTTACGACAAAAGAAGAGATTTTGATTTCAGTACTATAAAGCTCATCCACTGGCACTCCAAAAAGAGTAATACCTAATACCGTACATACTCAACTCCTTAGAATAACAAATATTTGCAACAAAGCTGAATACCTGCAAGAAGAAATCGCTAACTTAGTCAAAATTCTCTTAGAGAATCATACACCTCTATTCAAAATTTATACAGTACAAAGTCTGTAATCCGGACGTCCATTATCCAGAATGATCTATAATCCGGAGTGTTTACGCACACGCGTTTAGCACAAAAAACGAAGCAACTTAAACAACTTGCAGTGAAAGAAATGTTTAATAAAGTAAACAAATAAATAATTAAGCTTTTTTTTTTTTTTTTTTTTTTTTGTAAATTTTGATAACCTTTAGATCATAATTGCTCTTTATTTCATAAATTAACGGTTTCATATTTATAATTGTATAATTTCTGCATGCCATCTTACCAGATTTAAGTTGATGATCTATAATGCGGAAAAACCCTTAATCCGGAATCGCCGAAGTCCCGACGAGTCTTTTTTCCCCCCCTTTTAAATATCACTGCTTACTTAGTATAACTTCTTTTCTTGACCTTTGAATAAAAAGGCATAAAATACAGTATCACTTTGTTCATGAACTGTAAACAGCATGAACATCAGCCTTTTCTTGTCTTTTGGTGGGCAATATGAAAATAAAGCAAGTTCATTACTATGACCTAATACTACTGTATTTTTCTAACTTTTTCATTAGTTGGTAAAACTTTTTGCCCTTGAACAAGATAATGTTCTTCAAAAAATCATTAAATTTTTTTATTCAAGAAATTGATTAATTAGACTTTTTTTTTTTTTTTTTTTGCTTCCTAAAAGTTTATTTTTAAATGTAATGTTCATTTAAGTTTTAAAAAAGTTGAATGAATCTATATATACATAAAGAGTTTCAATACAATCTGATTATTTGCATCCAGAGTTTGATTATTTGGTACTTTTCCGTTTTGCCGGTGCAAGCGATGAAGTCGCCAATAATGGTACAACTGATGCCAAACGGAATTATCCTCACTCGTAACCTTTTATGCCTCATTTTCAAAACAAGTTCGCAGCCATTTCTTATCAGATTGATCAGTTTTTCTTTCAATACTGGCAACATAATTACATAGAATTTTTTACCAGATAGTTCAAGTTTTCATGTCCTAAGGCCATTTTTGCGGTAATTAAGTCAAATTAGAATGCAATCACGCTGCTCACCCGAAGGTGAAAATATAGAAAAGGTAAAAGCCAAAGGGCTTAAATTCATCAATTCTAATGAGAATGCACTAGTGAAGTAAGAGCACTGCAGTTTTACATAATTTCTAAAGTAAGCTATTTCGTACATGAATTAAAATAATTTCTTGCATTTAAACTTTGTATTCCAAATTAAGATTTAACTTGAAATTAATGTATATATTTGCTGAGAGAATTATATTTTTCGTAGCAGTAGTTTACATGAGATGATATCGCTTGGGATCACGTGATATGAAACCGGCGAATCAGGATGTTGAACCATGAAAGCATCTAGTAAATTCTTAAATTAATGTCTTTTTTTTTACAAAATTTATTGTCTTTATTTATTGGCTTTTTATAAAATTTTTTAAGCGATATTAAAATGTTTATGCCTTCAAAAAAAAAAAAGAATTCTTAGAACTAACATTTTTTTAATATTTTTTATGTGCATACTGTATGTTGTCGCCAATAAAGTCTGCTTGGCGAGATTTGCGCAGACGAAACGGAAAAGTACCGATTATTTTTAGAATATGTTCAAGAATAAATAACATTCATATGCACATAGACATATTTAACTATACATGAATTTTATATATTTATATTTAATAATTATTTGTCAGTATTTTTAGCCACATAGATTTTTTTGCCCGATAAGTATTTTTGCTTTCTAAACTGCTTCTTATAATAAGTTGGGGACAGTCATGAAAGATGCCTCACAAACTTTTTTTTGCCAGTTTACAAAGATGCCAATGAGTTAGCGACCTTTCATCGGAATGTAGATAATGAGTAAGTACCATAATTTCAAATTCAATAAATAATAAGGGTACTAGTAACCCAGGAGCAAAAACGTACCTCAACATATCAACTAAAAAGAAACCCATTCAGATTGAATAAGATCTTGAAATAAATGGGTTGTGAACTGTAACCAGCTTGTTGCACTATCGAGGAAAAATTTTACTATTTTTTTTTTATTACGAGGGCATAAATTGCAACTCTTTTACAAATAAAAAACGATACTCCTTCTTTCTAATAACAGAAAGACACCGTCTTTTCCCTTTTAAATGCATATGTCGATTTTCTGAGTACAAACAGCCAAAAGCCAGTTTCCCGAAAGCTGCCTTTATTGATATATTATTTACCATCATATTAACATATTTTTTAAATATACATTTATTATCACATTTTTTAAAGTAAGATAATTATAACTTTCTATCACACAATACTGTTAGTGATTTTACCAAAAAATTCTTGCATTTGTTACTTTTAGAGGGAGACTCAACGACCGGTAGTTTTTCGGAGAGTTTAAAAGACATTTTCACACATAAAATGAAAGTACGAAGTCATGAAAATTTCCTTCTTTTAATTGCTCTCAAATAAATAAAAACATTCGCACACATAAAGGGAACATAACACATAGAAAAAGCGAAATTTTTTTTGTTACGTAAAATCGTATAAAATTATCAAATACTAATTGCTCTTGAACTCAGTCCTTTAGCCCTTAGGGCAACAAGGAAGTATTAATATCAAATAAAGAAACAGCGAAGTAAATATAAATGGTCATTTCATTTAAATCGTAAATGTTAATTTCAACTCAATGTCTTTTAATAAATATTATACATTATTGTTAAAGTTTGAATAAAATTATGTTTAATAAATTTTTATTTAAACACTTTAAATTTATTAAATTGTATATGGCAATAGTCTTTATCTGTTGTGAAACTGTAGGCCAAGGCTGTTTATCTTCTCTTTTTCCGATTTCATCGTCACGCTGCGTAACGGGGTGTTGGAAGTAAGCGTGAAATTAATCAAAAATGACGGAGGAAAAGAAAACTTACACATTAGAAGAAATAGCTGAACATAATAATAAAAAATCAGTTTGGATTTTAATTCACAGCAATGTGTATGACGTTACAAAGTTTCTGGAAGAAGTAAGTTACTTTATAATTCATGCTCATTATTAAATCAGTGCGTTTCTTTATTTCGTGGTTGATTGATTGTAATGTTCTATATTAACAGCATCCTGGTGGCGAGGAAGTACTGTTAGAGCAGGCCGGTAAGTCTCTGATTTGCTTTTATCTAATTTTATATGCGTTGCACATTTTTTATTTGTATAATTTAATTTTTATGATGAAGTTCGGACTTTCATCTTACTTTGCAAGAAAGTTCAAGGATAAACAGTCGAAAATCATATATAATATAAAGCTTTATGAGCACTGAATAAAGGAATGAAAATTAGCAGAGATTCTGGTTTGTAATTAATTATCAAATCATTCATTTTTGTTCAAGTAGGTACGAAATATCTGTAAATGAAACCTTTTTCCTTTTTTGGTTCTGTTTAATATATATATTTACATTTAGAGTTTAATTATTATTGCCCAGAAACTGTATTTCAATATATTGTAACTAAAGTAAATTAAAATAATGTGCAACTAAACTAATTTTGATGTTTGAGAAATAAATACCAAATTAGGCTGAAGAGAAACTATTAAAAATGTTGAAGTTTACTTAAACATTTGTATGATACAATATAAAATTATGAAAATGAAACAAATGTTAAAACATTTTTATATTACAGAAGCAAAATGTAAAAATCAAAATTAATTAAATTATTCTTTACCTACCAAAGGAGAATTGACTTTTCAAGGAGAAGTAATTTTCCTTTATTATATGTAAGAGATTGTATATAAAAATTATGTTTTATATGTATTTATATGAGGGAGTATACAGGCTCCCAGAGACTTTTTTTGTGTGTGTATATTTAAGTGTATTGCAGATACTTTTTTTTGCCTAATTTATACAAAAGTAAGAAAAGTTTTTTTATTTGAGCCATTATTAATTTTTGCATTTTTATGCATTACTTAATTTCTGGTACCCTTTCTTTCTTAAATTTAAAATCAGCAATGACTTATGAAATGTAAAATAAAAATATTAAGTGGAAGGATTTAAATTTCATTGGCGCTGCTTTGAAAAATAATTTACTAGATTCTATTTTTAAAAGACTGTCGCAGATTAACTGAGGCACAATCACTTATGATATTAGCATATATTCTAATTTAAGGCATGATCACTTATGCTATTAGCATATATTCTAATTAATTTTAGTTGTGAATAAGAAATACAGATAAAAATTATAAATTAATATAGGGAGTAAATTATGTACATATTAAGAGGGAAAAGAAAACTGATTTTTCTTGTAAACTTTAGGAAATTTCTCATTACATAACAATTGAATTGCCATTTGTAACAATTCATTTCCTGGTATCCTTTTTCTCATATGAACATTCTTGTAGTTTCTAAACTATAAGGCATAACTGTGCATAAAATTTAAGAAAAAATATTGAGGAAGAGTTTAAAAGCTTTTTTTTTTTTTTTTTTTTTTAAATATAAATAGCCTTCTAGAATTTCTATCATTCTTAACTTTTTAATTATAATTAAAAATTTAACCTTCCTCCCTTTTTTTCCCTACTTTTTTCTTGCATCAGCTTTTTTAACTACAATATATAGAAAAGCATAAATACTTTAGTACATTGGGGGGAGTGGAAAGCGGTTTAGTATAATCACTTTTTCCTTGGTGATTTTATTTTTCCCACCTCCTCCGTTTTCTGGTTCCAAATTATTGGGGAGGTTTTTTTAACTATCAAATAAGGGAAATAGCAAAACTGGTGGGGTTTCAAATCTCCCGAAATCTAGTAAAGACTATGTTTTCTGTACTGATTGTTGACTTTTGCTTTTTCATTTTTGTTTCTTTTAACACTCTGCCTTTTAGTCTGAGAGTTATGTAAAGTGATGGGAATTTTTTTTTCCCCTAGTATTTGAGGGTAACTTTATTAATGGAAAGTCAATCTTGGGCATAAATAATGAGTTTATATATATATATAAGCTGCTATTGCTAAGAAAAATTGGTTTGATTAAGTCTGATATATTGAATCTTTTCGTTTAAATGAGCATTTGTTTGAGAAATCATGCAAAGAGAGGGAATGTCTTTAATGCTTTCTGGGATATTGTGATAAGTACATGAAAGAATTTTAAAATTTTGATTAAGGAAAGGTGGTTTTTTTTTTTTTTTTTTTAAGTTAGGGAAATGGCATCAATCACATTTTTATTTTTGAAGTAAAAATAATAAGACTTTAGAAAAAGGATTCGAATAGAAGAATAAGTCTGTGTTTGGTGTTCATTGAGATAACTAATATGTTTTATTTATAACCAAGATGTTTTCATAATTAATTATGAATACTGTTTAATATCTTATTTTTGTGTTTAATGACAAGGATTGCTATGATTAATGTGTACATTGTGAATTAAAAAGTAATGCTCAGTATATTGCAGAAACCCAATTTTCCGGCATGTTAGCTATCTTTGATTATTAAATATGCAGGATTGTTGGTCTAAAACTGTATTCTTGTGCAATGATCTTTTTTTCCATTAGGGAGTTTTTGGAAAAATAAGAAAAATGTATATAATAAGTTTACAAACATATTTAATAAAAGAAACTGAGTAAGTAAATTTATTCAGTACTTATATATTAACACAATCACTTTGGAGCAAATTGGCGATTTTTTACTGTTAAAGTGGTGAAAGAATCTCCATGCACCCGAAAATTACTTATGAGGCCATGTTGGTAATTTTTATGCCTTTTTTTAAACGATTCCCAAAATAGGTTAGAGTAGAGAGAAAGGCACTCCGTCTATTATTGTGAAGTTGTTTCATTTATTGCCAAGTTGTTGTTTCATTTATGGTAGCCTGAGTAGTTGAATGCTATGGAAACCCTATTATGGTGTAATCGGTTGCATGATTGTGGTAAATTCGTAAGGGCTTGTGGTGTTTGTGTGTTGGTGAGGAAGTATAATTCTCCGTTTTAGCAATATACTTTCTCCGTTTTAGCCTGAACTTCTTCAGCTGGGGTAAAATGGGTTTTCTTTAAGAAAGATTGAACTTTAGGAAATAAAAAAAAAAGTCACATAGAGCCAAATCAGGTGAATAAGGAAGATGACCAATCGCAGTAATATTTTTGCTGGTCAGAAACTGCTTGACAGGTAGAGTCGTGTGCAGAGGCTGACTAAGGCAGGGGCATACGGGGCAGTTGCTCCTAGCCCCCACATTAGAGAGGAGCCCCAAATTGAATAGAAAGTTTATTATTATACAAATTTAAATGTCTCCATAAAATTTGTTTCTTCATTACTGAAGAAGTGAAGCAAAGGGGGCCCCCAAAGAAGTCTTTGCCGTGGGACCCCCAATAAGGCTAAGTCGGGCCCTGGCCGTGTGAGCGGGTGCATTGTCCTGGTGCAACAGCCATCCATCACTCCACAACTGTGGCCTTTTTCTTCCTAATTTTTCATGGAGTCTTTTTAGTACTTCAGTGTAATAGTATTGATTAACAGTCTCACCATGATGAACATACTGGGCGCCCCCACGTTCATCATCTTCCCACTATCCCTTCCCCCTGAAAACTGCTTATGCCATTCAAACACACATGCTTGAGACAAAGTTTATCTCCATAAGCCTCGGTTAACATTTGAAATGTTTCCTCCATGGCTGATTTCTTAAGTTTCACAAGAAACTTGATGTTAATTCACAGTTCGGTTTTTTACATTAGACATTTTTCCGGCAGAATGCAGTTGCACGCGTTCGCTCAATGATGCAGTACTCCCCACTGGCGTGGTCGAAACTGGCCGCATAGATAGAGGAAGTATTGTGGCATGGCGTCACTAAAGCAGTTGTTGCCAACTCCACTCCATTTTCATGCTACACACTTAGTCTCGTTTTCTTTTTTTGTGTGTGTTACACTTCGTATATAATTTTAGTTGTATGTAATTCAGAGTATATAAACATTGTTAAATCATCCTAGTGAAAGTAATTGTTCAGTTATAAAAATGTACTGCTGTTAATCTCCTATTTGACAATGACTTCTTTCAAAATATAAGAGGAATGTAAGCAAATCATTGTTCTTTTTGTTTTGAATACTGATTTATTTTATGTAATCAAATAATCTTATTCTATGGATTAAATACTTTGAATATACAGTTAAAATATTAGAAATCATTTTCTATAACAACATTGGTTATTCAACTTTCCTGTATTTTTGTTAACTGCCCTGGGATTAACCATTGTTTTAGGTTAGCCATGAATATTGTCTTCAATATTATCTTGGACAAATTTCAAAGTGGCATGAGTCTTAGTGACCTTTTCTGTTGTCAGACAAGAAAATTACTGAAAGGGATTGTGCTACATCTGTATTTAAGAATTGCAGCTTTTCGTTGGAATTAAAGTTTTTAAATTTATCTCATGCATTAAAATTATGATTTTGTGGAATAAGGAGGAAGTAGCTGCTTTTTATTTTGTATTCATAAAATATTTTAATAGGTGGTATTTTAATAACATTTAGTATCTGAAATAATAAACATAATGAAAATATGCAAAGACCATCAAAAGAAAGGCCCATTACATAACACAATGCATTATTTGTATGTACTGTAATTTCGGGTAGATAAGCCGCAGCTTATACTTGTTTAAAAGTTGAAAATTTAGATCTGCGGATATCTGAGAGAATTTTATTTTTCTTCTGTCCTTAAAACTTCGCCAGTTCAGATCGTAAGTTACGCACAAGCGAAATGGTAAGAATTCGCTGCAACATTCTAACCTCCGATTGCACTAAATGCAATAAGTTCAAATTCGCCAAACTAAGGTAGGTGATGCTCACTGTAGAGACACTGTAATTCCTGTACTTTCTGCTAACTCCATGGTTTTGCCCACGTCTTCCTGTGACTTATTATATTTTAATGGAAACAGCTACATTTACTTTCCAAGTGCTGTATTCATTCTTACACGTTTTTACTGCTTTGTAGCTTGCTTTTTGCTTGCCTTATCATTCACGATTTAAAATTAATATTATTATTATGGCTTCTCTTTGAAGAAAAAGTTATACACCTGCTTTTAAGCTTTTGGCAGCAAAAAAAGCTATCGAATTGGAAATCTCACTGCGACTAAAGAATTTCAAGCTGATGAGCGATGCATTTGGTAGGGGAAGTCCGAACAAGAAGAATTAGAGAAAATGCC